ATGCTTTGCTAACTTCACTTCTCATTTGTCCTGCAAGTTAGTGAAATGTCTACCTTTTAAGTTGAAGTTGCAAAAGTGATGTTTACAGGATATAGTATACTACTACTAAGAGACAAAACAAATTATAGGCTAACATGTATTATTTGATTATATTTTCAACAGTATTTGATTATATATATTTACATAAGAAAAACATGGAAGGATATGTGTCAGATTGTTAACAGTGTTTTATTTGGGAGAAAGGGAAGAAAAGGCTTATTAATTTTACTTTTCATAATTCTTTATTGTGTGAATTATTACAGTGAGCATGTATCACTTTTGTAATTCAAAAGACTGAAATGAAATCAATAAATGGAGAAGGCATGCTTTCCTGTTCAACAGGATTAAACTAGTTAATGTCTGAAAGGCATCTTTATGTTGTTGTCTTGTTAATTAAAGTGAAAATTTTCTAAAATAGAGGAATTAAAAAGAATAATAAGCCCTCTCCAAAAAACATTTGATAATGTTTTAAACTAGCAAAATGGCAGACTGAGATAGCCTCAAATCCCTCTAAAAATAAACACTTAGAAGTGAATCTGTTATGAAAACCATACTTTTGAGAACATACAGATCTGTCAGGTCTGTGGGAGAGACCCTTAGGGGATAGAAAAAAAAAGACCATCCTGGTGGTATTCCATGGTTTCAGTAGATGGGGTTTGGGTTTAAAGGATAGAATACTAGGCCCTTTCACCTTCAGTGAAAGGATGGGTTAGAAAAAAGTTACCCACTGTCACAGTAACGCTTGGAAGGCTTGTTCCTTGCCTATGCTCTTGTTAAAATGAAAATGTCTCCCCAGGGCCTAACCCTCAAAGGGGTTTGGAGTTCAAATTTAATAGTACTTTAAAGCCATATAAATGCCCCCAAGATGTAAAATTGACAATACAGATTGGCCCCAAGTTAGTGATATGCCTGGAGCGCCCTGAAGCAAACACAATGCTATTTATAGCCTTTGTCTGCATTTCCTTTGGCTTACCTTTTTATTATCAATTTCTAGGATTTTAAAATAGAAACGTGCATGTGTTCAGAATATTGTACCGAACTGTTAACAAATTATTAAATCCACTTTGAGTAAGGTTTCCCACTAGTATGTGTACTCCCTATTCAACTTCTGTTTACCATTTTGTCTTCTAACCTAATTGGGTTTAGGAAACTCTGTCTTCCTTTTTTTTTTAAACCTATGCTCTTCACGCTCTGTCTTTTGATTTTGTGAGCCAAAGGGGAAAAAAAAATCACCCTAATTTTGGCTATGTAAGTTGTAGAAGAAACACCCTTGGGTCAAGAAGGGAGATTGTATATATGGGAGTGACTTTGGCTAGCAGCTGCTCTTAGCCTCTCCTCTCCCGGACATGTGTGTGTGGGGGGGGCTCAGTGGTCTCTCATCTGCACACAGTGCAGTCTCATGTGGGGAACAGAGAAGAGCACAGATTTGGTACCTACCTAAAATGTACCAGTGTAGCCTGGGAAAATTTACTTATTTTCTTTGAGCATAAAGTCTTTCAATATTAAAAATTAGAACAATAATAATATCCATTTAATAGACTTGTTTTGAGAGTTCAAAAGGGTAATGTATGCCTGGATTCGGTAAATGTTTAGATCCCTTTCCATTAAGCACATTCATTTAAACTAAATCAACAGAGGCTATTTCTCTATTATATTGATTTCTTCTTTTCTTTTATTGATAGTATTATAAAATATTTTTCTGTTATATTTCTTGTATCTTGACATATATTTTAGCTTGATTAGGCTTTAAGAGACCTTTATTTACTAGCCTGAGAATCTTAACTATAATTATGTGCTTGCTTGTTTGTGAAAATGGGTTTCATGTTGCAAATATCTGCCTTATTGAAAACTTTAATAACACATTCCATTTATACATGAAATACTGTCTTTGTATTCTCTGCCTAGCAATACACCTTGAGAATAGTAAGTGTTCAGTAGTTATTTGTTGTCAAATGATTTAAAGCTACTCGCTGTTAAAACTGTAACTTTCTACGGTGTTCGGTCCTTGCAGAAGGTACCCTGTAAAATGATTGTCTTAGCATGACCTCACAGTGTTTTTCTACTCGAAGGTAAGGGATATAGCCAGTTGTTCATGTACGTAGCCGTGTTGGTTCATATCTATAAAAGAGTAGAAAAATCCTAAATAATTTGAATGAAATTTTATAATAGATTAGAAAAGGGTTCTGGAATGTAATGTCCTAGAAGAATGTCTGACTGGAGCTTTCGATTATTCAGCATAGATCAGATGGGGATATGGAATACAGAGGAGAAAAGGTGTGGCCCCTGTTTCTAAGGACTCTAGAGTTTAGACACATTGTTATGAGGCTGGATAAAATACAATTGGGGTCAGATGGGGATAAGGGTTCCTGAAAAGTGGTAAAAGAAATGTTGAGGGGTTTTAGCCAGGTGAAGACTGGAGGCTGAGAGAGCAGTCCTGCTCTAGAACCCTAACCCTAACCCTAACCCTAACCCTAAGCTTAAGCCTAACCCTAAGCCTAACCCTAACCCTAACCCTAACCCAAGTATAGGGAACAAAGACAGTATTAGAAGTCTTTTGACACCCAGTAGTCAAACTGCCGAAATACTGCTCTTCTCACAGACCATGAATCCCAAGGCAAACTTTCCAAGCATCCAGTGAAAAAGTCCATATGGCCCCCGTCTAGTGCAGTATGATGCATCAGAAAGCCACCAGTTGTAATGGTGTGGGTTTGCTTTTCTCACCTCAGCCTGCAGATTCCAGAATGAACTTGCTTTTTGATTGTCATATTGTACCCATCTGTTTTCTTGAGGTTCTTTATTCATAGTTGTGGGGGGAAGAACTTGCCGCTGGTAATAAATGGAGTGGGGGTGAGGTTGGCAGTGGATGAGAAGGTGACTGACAGCCAGAATATGAGGGAAAAATGAAGCGTTTTTAGATAATTCAGGGTCAACTGTATTCAGGAATAAAGTCAGGGCGACTCATTAGTAAACTAGTGTGTAGGAACAAGTGAAGTAGTCAAAGCAGAGGGAATATGAGACAGTGATGTATTAGGAGTCACACTGAGTGAGGGCTCAGGGGCGCAAAGGTGACTTTCAGTCTAACTCACTGAGACTGTTCCCAGAGCATTTCTGTCACAGTGAAGGCTCAAGCTCTGTGGTTGACTCAGGAAGTTACCCAGTACTGCTTCCCTCAGAGGGTTTTATCTGGGCAAAATGTGACGGTGCCTTGTAAACCATAAAGCATCATACAATTGTAAGGAGTTGTGAAATTATCATAATGAACTGTGGCGTTTATTCTCTCATTCCATTCCCAAACCAAATCTCCCCTTATGTTTTGTGATTTATTATTGGTGAATAATAAAATATTAAAATATTTCCAAAAGCTATTGTAATGACTACAAGATCTTATCTAACAGCTCTGTGCTTCAGTGAACTCACTTTTTAAACATTAAACAGAAAGTCCTTTAACTTGTCTACTACATACATAGTTGTTTGTATAATTCACACATCATAAGCAGTATTTAAATTGAAGTAAAATGCATTTTTATGACTACTTCAGCCTATCGATAAATCATTTTTATGTTCTTTATGCATTCGGGTAAATTCAGCACAGTTTTCAGCCATGCTTTCTTAATGGATTTTTGAACTGTATTATTTGCTTTTTTATTCACCCAAAGCTCCAACTTAGTTTAATGAGTTCTCTAAATCACTGCACAAATAGAAAAGATTCTCCTATTTATTGTAATTAAGCTGCATAGCCTATAGTTTCTATTCCACAAGGCCATCTGAGTTTAGCATACCAGTAATCTTTTTGAAGCGCCATCTGGAGTCCAGCGTTTTGCAGAGCTCGTGAATCAGCAGCAAGTCTCAACTCAGCCATCAATAGGATCAGGGTCACTCTGCCCTGCTCACTTGTGGGGATATTTAAAATTCAGTGTCATTCTGCCTTCTCCAGTCTGTGTGTGGTTGTGTGTGCGTGCAAGAGAGTGAGTGCGAGAGAGAGAAAGAGAGAGAGAGAGGGAGAGAAACAGAGAGAGAAACAGAAAGAGGAAAAGAATGTGTGTGAGTGGTGCATATGTCTTCTTATTTCGATTATTCCCCATTTTGTGGCAGTGTATCTAGGATATCAAACCAGTTGTCTAGAAAGTTTGATTTTAAGGTATTTTGAAGAGGCTACAGAGTAAGATATCCTTTATTAGAAAAGTAATCATTTATCATTATATACTTTACTAAGTAGAGAACTTACTTAGGAAATGTTTGGGTCTTACATACCTGTGCTATTAGGTAGCGTGCAAAAGAGTTAGAAGCCAATTCATTTTACTGCAGTTACACTTAACAAGGAATTGCTATATTGGTGAGATGTATTTATGTATATGTAGGAGTATGTAAAGCTATGTTTGTATATGCACAAATGTATTTTTCTTTTGTCATGATTGTTCTTGTATATCCATATTCAAAGTGCATTACTACGTAATATTAAATAGTAATTTCAAAGAGATGCTTATTGGCACTTTATAGAAAGTTTGCCAATCTCAATCTCAATTTTATAGAAAATGGAAGTTGGCCTTATTTTTTCCTGGTGAATCAGTTAATTGGTCAGAGTCAATGAATTGGTTAGTAAATTTTTGTGAGTATCTGCTATGCCCCTATTACTGTACTTGGGGATTATAAGCCCTTCAGAATTAATCTATTATAGTGCATAAGTGAATCTGAATGGAAAGATATGCTGTTGACTCAGTTATATTACCGTGACTAGGCAGCATAGATGGTGACTCAGTGCAAAGCACGGGTACTCAAACCCCACCACTATCACAGAGCGGAAAGAGCATCGGCTCACTGTCTTTATCACTAATGACTTCTATGATCTCCTAAGCAAGTGTTCTCATCACTATTTCGCTTTCTTCACTTTAAAATATGGATTATATTGGATGACCTCAAGAAGCTTGTCTGACTAATCTTTGACTGTTGTAATGTTTCCATAGGGTGTTACCTACTGTGGAGAAAGTTCAGCAAGCAGTCTTACCATGGCCAATGTGCCCTGGCATGAGGAAGTGGTACGATTTGTCCGCGAGTTGGTAAATCTCATCCCCAACTATGAAATTGCGTGTGAACACGAACATTCCAATTGCCTCCTGATAGCTCACAAAAAGGTAAGAATAACTCAACCATTTGTTCTTCAAACCCCTTATCCTACTGCTCCTTTCTTCTCTTTTCTCCTCCTTTCCCCTTGACTTTGTTATAGGGAATACCTATGTTTGCTACGTTTTCTTAAACAAACATTAAGAAAGCCATAAATTCTGTCTGTTTAGTTCATAAGCCTTTTTCTTTGTGACATTGCTTTCTTTTCAGCCCCTCTTTAGACATCTTGAAGTGCTTTCTGGCTTGCAGTTTTTAAAAGGTGCATGCTAAAAAAAACCAAAAGAGGACACCCTTGTAATAACTTCTAGTCCTTTCCTGGAATGACAGGAAAAAACTAAAATAGTAAACGACCCCCATATGAGTTTCTAACTGTCAGAAGAAATATTGAGACATATGTCAAAATTTAGATTGCTTTGAATCTTGACTTCTGGAGAATTTAGTTTGGAATTTTAGTTTATGACACTATTTCCATTTTTTCCCCTGTAGTGCTTTTAGGAGACAGAACAAGTACATGCATCTGGTGTCTTTCTTAAGTAAATAATACCTAGCAAAGGAAAAATCCAGCTCTTGATAGAGATGAACCACTCATTTATTAATTTTCTGGATAAGTTCTGGAACTTTCCTTGGTCTGTATGTCTTTAAATATTTCTTTTTCCCTATTATCTCTGCTCCTCTGGGATTCTAATTAATATATGTGAACAACTGTATTTTTTGTCTCTTGCCTTCTCATTTGTATGTTTTTGTTCTTTTGTCTCTCTGCTTCATTTTAGACAGTTTCTTTTTATTTATATTCCATTTCACTAAGTCTTGCTTCAGCTGTATCTGATATGCTATTAATTTCAATAATCAATTTCCTAATTTTAGATTTCATGTTTTTTAATTGTATAATTTCCATTTGGTTTGTTTATTTCAAATATGCTATGTCATTTTATATAATTTCCAGTTCCCTGCTGAAGTTTTCAAGCTTGACTTCTATCTTCTTGAATAGTGGAAATAAGGCTGTTTTATTGTAGGTATCTGATAATTCCAGTATCTGAAGTTTCTGTGGTTTTTTTTCTGTTCATCATTTCAACTGGTTCTCATTCATGTTGCCTTATCTTCTCATGTATCTCATCATCTTTGTTTTCTGTACATTGTATTTAGAAAATTACTTCTAGAAATCATGTGACACCATCAGAAGATCTCTTCTGAAATATCAAAGTATGTGATTTAACCTCACTTTTTTCATGTGAAAACTGAGGTCTGAATGGTGAAGGGACTTGTTTAAATAGCTGAGCCAAAACAGAACCATAGCTTCTGCCTTATTCAAAGGAACACTTAAAACAGGAAAAATTTTTTTAGACCAATACTTTATATCAGTCTGTAAGATTTCTTCTGTTTTCCCAGTGTAGACATGAGGACAGAGGAATTAAATAGTACTCTGTCTCATTCAGGCCATTTCAGTTTTCTAAGTGTTTATTGAACACCTGCTGGATATTAGATTATACAGCAAGGAGCACAGTGCCTTTGACATGAAGAATGGAAAGCACACAGGGGTCACTGAAAACAGACCTGGCACAAGTCTTATACCATCTCTTATTAACTAGATGGCTTTATGCAAGTTCTTTAATCTTTCTGTAGTGTAAGGAATGATTAAGAGGTTGCGTGAGGAGTCAGGTTGATTAGAATTTGGATCTTAGCCCTGTCTCTTTTTAACTTTTCATCTGAAAAATGGGCATCATACTAGCTAAGACTATTCTTATGAAACAATATAGCACTTGGCTCACAGTAAGATTCAGTTATTGCTACTTCCGTTATTGCTATTTTTTATCATTTATAAAACTAGATAATGTGGTGAGTGGTTAATTTGTAACTGACAGTTGCAAGTATATTTTTTAAATTCTTACAACCACCCCATATGGTAGGTTCTATTGTGATTTTTGTTTTATGGGTGAGAAAATTGACACATCAAGGGGCTAAGTAACTTGTCCAAGGTGAACCAGCCAGTAAGCAGTAGAAATGAGATTAAAGCCCTGGCATCTGACTCCAGAGCTTACTTTTCCTTCCTTTCTTCTTTCTCTCCTCCTTTCCTCCCTCCCTCCCTCCTTCCCTTCCCTCCCCTTCCCTCCCCTCCTCTTCCCTTCCCCTTCCCTTCTTTTTCCTTTAAATTTGGAAATTATTTCATGTTTTAAAAGTGCGATAATAAAAATAGTACAAAGAGCACAAATTCACCTGTCGCCATTATCTCCCATTTGCTTTTGCTTTTGCTTTTCTCTCTCTGCCCCACAATTCCCTTTCTCCCCAATGCACACGTATGTGTGCCAATGCGTGCGAGCGCGTGCGTGCGCGCACACACACACACACACACACACACACACACACACACACTTTATTTTTTGAGCCGTTTGAGGAAATGCTACATTGACCATGGTCCTTTACCTCTAAATGTCTCCATGTGAATTTCTTAAGACTAGGAGTATTCTTTTTTCAAAACTTTAAATTGATACATGATTTTAGTCTACTATTCTTATTCAAATTTGGTCACTTTACCTGATGATGTCCCTTATAGCACTTACCCCTCTAATTCAGGATCTACTCTATAGGAGTCAGCAAAGTTTTTCTATAAAGGACCAAGAAATACTTGAGTGTTTGTTTACATGTCACGTACAGTCTCTGTCAAATATTCTTTTTTGCTGGTTTGTTTGTTTTATCAACTTTTTTTTTTGAATTGGAACTCACTCCATCGCCTGGGCTGGAGTGCAGTGGCACACTCATGACCACCCCAGTGTCGATCTGCTGGGCTCCGGTGATCCTTCCGCCTCAGCCTACCAAGTAGCTGGAACTACAGGCACGCGCTACCATGCCCGGCTAATTTTTTAATTTATCGTAGAGACGAGGTCTCGCCAAGTTGCCCGGGCTGGTCTTGAACCCGGGGGCTCAGGCAATCCACTCACCTTGGCCTTCCAGAGTGCTGGGATTACAGGCTGAGCCACCAAACCCACTGTACAAACTTTTAAGAACTTAAAGACTATCCTGTGTGATCAATTTGGCCAGACAATGGCCTACCACCTGTAGTTAGCCAACCCCTGGTCTAGGTCAGATATTACATTTTAGTCACCTTCAATCTGGAATATTTCCACAGCCTTTCTTTGTCTTTTATGACATTGCTGTTTTTTAAAAATACAGTTTGTCACTTTCTTTTCTTTTAATAGACATGTTCCTCATTTCATATTTGTCTGATTTTTCCTTGTGGTTAAATTGAGGTTATGCACCCTCAGAGGAAATATTATTGCGTGTCCTTTTCAGAGTATCACACGTGGTACATGATGTCCATTTCTCCTTCATTGATGATGGTGGTTGTGTTCACCTGATCACTGTTTTGCCCAATTCCTCTACTGTAAAATTACTTTTTTCCTCCCTTGTAACTAATAAGCTTTTAAAAATGCAGATATCCTGCTTCTTGTCAAAATTTCCCCCAGATTTAGCATTTATTGATGGTTCTGACCTCATGAAATTTCTTATTAATTGTGAAACATTGAATTTTCTAACTCTGTTCTACTCCCTTCACATTTATCTTCAGCATTCTATTGTAAACAAAAGTCCTCTCTTTGCCCCATTTATGTATTTATTTGTTTTCAGTGTGAACTCATGAATTATTTTTTCCCCAATGGTTTATAATTCATTACTGTACTTAATTATTTTAAACCACTGTTTTCTCTCTTCCTCACTCCCTCTCTCTCTAATTAAACCTCTGTAACTGTCATTCAAAAGTGATACTAATAATAATGACTTTAGAGATTATTATCAAGATTATAGAGGTAACATATTTATAGTGCCAAAAGTAAAATGGGCAGTTAATAAATAGTAGTTGTTAGTGCTGCTTTTTTTGGCTTGTTTCCTTCCACAGGGAGCTCACAGTTTAGTAGGGGGTATATGAAATTAATTCAGTATGATAAATGTAAAAACAGACACAGGCACAAAGTGCAAGCCAGAACAGGGGAGAGAGTCTGAGATAGACCTTCATCATTATTTTTAATGTTTGTTGAATAACAGAAAAAGACATATCTAAACAAACCAAAAAATTGCCCAGAAATGTTATCAAAGCTATCTATGATGGAAGAATGGAATGGAAAATTGAATACAAAGTGGACTTTCTCAGAACCAAATGGTACCATCAGAAAGGCTTCACAGAGGAGATGCTATTTAACTAGATCTGAAATGATGGTCAAGGTAGGAGGAACATTTAAGCAGAAAACGGTACAAGCAAAGGTTCAAGGAGAAGCACAGAGGCGTGGCACATTGAGCAACACAAGTAGTTTGGTATGGCTGAAGGTCAAGAGGAAGGTGGCAGGGGAAGGGAATGATTAGGCATAGTTAAAGTCATAAATAGCATTGAGTGACATCCTGTCATTTTTTTCTATAGAGCATAGGGAGACAGTAAATAATTTTAAGTAGGGCAGTGACGCATTCAGATTTGGGTTTCAGAAAAATTTGTCCAGCTACAGTACAGAGGATGAATTATAAGACAGAGAAACCAATGAAACACTATGGTAATAACCTGTCATGGTGACATGTCCCTGTAGTCCCAGCTACTTGGGAGGCGGAGGTAGGAGGACTGCTGATCTCAGCAGTTCTAACCTAGCCTGGGTGACATAGTGAGATGCACCTCACCCCTAGTCTTAAAAACAAACAAACAAAAACCCCTATTATAGTAGTCCAATAATCTGAGTGGTAAAATGAGGGTCTGAGGCAAAGGTTGTGAGGAGTGAAAGTGGAGAGTGGTTGTGAGGATCATTAGCGAGTGGGTGGGTTCAAGCATGACCCTGACTTCGGTAAATGTGTGGTAGTGATGGTGTCTTCCATTGAGGTACTGTTGTTTGCATATTTATTATTTACTTATTTGTTTGAGGACATGTGGGTAGAGAATAAATAGTTTGACTCTGTGATATCTGGAAGAAATTCCAGTAAAGATATAGATATCAAATTATGGAGTTCAGATTAAGAGAAGTGTGCTTAGAATGCCAAAAATGAGAAAAATGATCAAGGTGAGTCCTCCAAAGTACTTTGAAATTGATTACTTAAATACAGACATTTCTAAACTCTCATTCATGGT